AGGATCCCGCGATCGTCGGACTGTGAAGTCACCACGGACTTGATTGAGTCGGTAGAACCAGAAGATCCGGGGCGCCCATCAGTGCTAGGTCGCAGATCGTACATTGATGACATCCTAGTGACGGCCGGATCATGGGACGAGCTGTGTGATCGCGTGCTGGACGCTTGTGATAAATGGAACCTCTCGATCAGTGTGGAGAAGAGCTCTTGGGGAATGCGTAAAGTGGACTATCTGGGACATCGTGTGTCGAACGACGGGCTGGAAGCCAATCCGAAGGACCTCACCGCTCTGACCGATCTGCCGTTCCCCGGATCGCTCAGATCGATCCAATCGTTTTTGGGCAGTCTCAATTATTACAACCGTTTCTTGGAAGATTACGCGATTTACGCGGCGATCCTGTACGAACTGCGCGAGGTGGACTTCGCCGAGCTGAAGAAACGCCCCGATCTGCGCCAGATCCTGGATCGTCAAGTACCGAACTTAGTGGATACGGACCCAGTGAGCCCCGATCGGACTCCATCAGTTCCTGAAGTCGGTGCTGCCGATGACCGCTGAATCCGTGCTCATCGTGCCTTTTCGACCCTGAAGATGAAGATTGCGACGACACCGATTCTGCGGCACTTCGATCGCGATCGGACTCCGGTCGTGATTGTGTATGCCAGTGACTGGGCGATCTCGGCCGCATTGATGCAGGAGCACGACCAGATCTATCATCCCGTTACTTTCGCCAGTCGAACGCTGAAGCCGAATGAACTGAATTACAATGTGGTGGAGAAAGAAGTGCTGGCGCTGTCACGGATCCTGGACCTGAACTATAGCATGCTGGTTGGACTATCGATCCGGGTCTTGACCCGACACTCGACGTTGGGGTGTCTGTTCCGATCATCCGGTCTTCAAGGCCGAGTGGGCCAGTGGGCTGCACTCCTATCGCCCTGGACACTGGAGATCACGAAGTACACCAAGGAAAAGGACGAGATATTGGGGGCGATCGCCGCTAGTATTACGCCTCGATCGGATCTGGACGACGCGTTGATCGCGATCGCGCCGAAGAAAGAACCCCGGCGCAAGATTCAAGCCCCGATCCCGACGGTGCGTGCGGACGCAGAGCTGCTGGTGATGAGTTTCAATGAATCCGCCCGCGTCAAGCGAGGCGGGGGCACGTACAGTGCAATCTTGTGGAAGTTACTCGAATGGAGTGTGTTGAAGGCTCGATCGGGCTATGCCGAAGGGCTGACTGTTAACGAGGCGGAGTATCATGGTCTGTTGTTGGGTTTCGGCCTCCTGGACGGCATAGATCGAGGCAGGTTAGTGGTCTGCGGTGACTCCAACCTGGTGATCCGACAAGTACGGGGCGAGATCGACTGCAAAGCACCTAAGCTGACATTGTTGACGCAGAAGGTGCTGGATCAGCTTCGGAACTGACCAGATCACGAGCTGTTACATGTGAAACGAGACTGGAACGGAAGTGCGGACAGCCTGGCCAGTGCAGCACTCCAACGTGAAGGGGGCGTCGTCGTCGAGGAGGATGCCGATCATGGGGATCTAGTGACACTAAACCGACTTGATGAGATCCTGGTCGTCCGGTCGGATGAGTCGATCGCCCGACTATCGCCGATGACAACCCGATCGGGCACCAGATCACGGCCGAACCCGACCGTCATGCAGGAGGAGTTCGTGCGAGGGTTGCGGATCGATCGGATTCGTCGAGCACAGGATGAAGAAACGTGGATCGCGGGTATGAAGAAGTATCTGAGGGGAGATGTGGCTGATCTGACACATGATGAGGCCCGATCCTATGGCAACCTCGCAGCGGACTACGAGATCGACGGTGATAATCTGCTGTTCTATTGCCCACCCTCCAAGCGATCGGATGCAGATCGAGATGGACTGATGAGACTGGTGGCACCGGAGACGCTGCATCAAGACATCCTGCATCACTATCACTCCACTCTGGAAGGTGGACACCAGGGGATCGGGCGTACATACCAGCGGATCCGCGATCACTTTCACTGGAGAGGTCTCTTCAGAAGTGTGCACAAGTACGTCGGCGAATGTGTCGACTGCGAAACCGGCAAAGGACGACCCACGATCAGGGGCGAGTCGTCGGGAAACATCCAGGCGACATACCCGTTCCAGATCGTAGCGATGGATCACATACATTCGCTACCCATTTCGTACGAGGGTAATTCGGAACTGTTGATCTGGGTCGATCTGTTCACGGGATACGTGATCGAGAAGGCCAGTTCCTCCCGAACAGCGCAGACGATCGCCGAATCTTACGAAGAGTGTGTGTTCCGGCGATTTGGTGCTAGCGAGGTGATCAGGCACGATCGAGAGCCGGGAGTTATGGCTGACTTCTTCCGCGCCTTTAACAAGATCCTGGGTATGTACCAGCGAGCGACGATGGCATATCGACCTCAGGCTAACGGTACTGCAGAGCGAATGGTACAGACGGCGACGAGGGCCCTGAAGATGTTCGTGGAGGATCTGGATCAGAGGGAATGGGATGAGTACGCAGAGCGATTGACCTTCGCGATCAACACGGCTCAGGATCGGGTCCGTGGGGACCCCCCTTTTTATATGGTGCATGGATGGGATCCTCGATCGACGCTCGAGGCAACGATACCTTTGGGTAGTACCCGGACTCGGGATCGGGATCCTCGACGGTGGCGTTATCGGATCCAGAAGCACTACGATCAGGCTCGGAGTCAGGTGAATGATCGACTACGCGAAGCGATCGCGGATCGGGCCGATCGACACAATGAAGAAGTTCGACCGCACTCGATCGAAGCTGGATCTCAGGTGTGGCTGTACCTGGATCGAGTGAAAGAGGGCTATGCCCGGAAGTTGGCCCACCTGTGACGATGGAATGGATCAATCTGAGTACTTCGTGCTACGCGTATGGAAGATCAGCCTCCGCGTCACTTCTATTCTTGGGGTATGGTCGACTGGCTCGCTATTCGCGGAAGTCGATCGTGGAGACGGCGATCATGTCACGGCTGGTGTTGGGCGCTGACGTTGGGGTTGAACTTGTTGCGGAGACGCGGGATCCGCTGGGCTGGATGGTCCTGGGGGTGGGCGCGGTACTGGTTCCGCCAGGGATCATGGGTGTCGGCCTCGATCAGGGCCGTTCGGAGGTCAGTCGGTTCACCATGGTGTTGGGTGGGGTTGCCGATGTTCGCAGCGCGAGATACCACGCCAGGATACCAGGTTACAGCGTCCCGCTGTCGCACCGGGATCTGCAGGAAGAATGGGTCCAGCAGCAGATCGACGTCTGCCCACATCTCTCGCATCATCGGCAGCATATCGACGAGGAGTCGGCGCCACCGATCACCGAGGCGGATCCGTCGGGCACGACGATCGCGATGGTATCGCTTGACGATCTGATCCCGACGCTGGGCGCCCGTGATCGGGAGATAATGAGTTGTTTCCCAGAAAGCCTGGCGATTCTGCTCTTCGAACTGAAGATAGGCAGCGGCGATCCGATCCAATCGGGTGCCGGCGCCTCGATGGAGCGCCAGATCGAAGGTCAACGGATCGACCGGGTTCTGCAGCGCCTGCCAGGGGCGATCGGCCATCAGCGCGGTAATGTTAGGTCCGGTGATCAGGTCGTCTCGATAGCCAACCCCGGCCGCAGGCTGTGCAATGCCCCGAACGACGAGCGGGAAGAGCCAGCCCACGGGTAGGAGCAGATGGTGGGTCAGCGTCGACAGGATCATGCCGGTGATCTGTAGCTGTCCCAGCAGGATCGAAGGCCAGGGGTCTGTATCAGTCTGAGCGAGTGCCCTGGGGGCGTTGAAACCCGGGATCATAGTACCGATCGGGAACAACGGCGGGACCAGAGGACGACGCCCCGGCGATCCAGGCGAGAACCGGGCGACGGCGATCCAGGTGGAGAACCAGGCGGGGATCCCGGAGGCGTCGGTCCAGGTGAGCCATGACGGGACTGACGCGTTCCGTGGGACGATTGGGAGCGAGCCGATCCAGACTGGGAGTGGATCGACACGACTGAGGGCGATCGCGATCGCGAGCGAGCCGGCGAAGTGTGGGTACGGGCCGGCGAGGCAGATTGACGGTGGCGAGCCTCCGATCGGGATCGAGCTAAGGCTGCTAGAGCCTCCTGATCAGACCCCTCCGAGTCGTCTTCTTCTTCGGTCTCTTGATCGGGCCCCTCCGATTCGGAATTTGCCTCGTCGGCCGCGGATCGGGCCGGAGACTCCTCCTCCTCTTCCGACCCGTCTTCCTGCGTAGATCGAGGGGGTGAACCTAATTCTTCTTGGTCCGATCCCTCTTGATCGTTCAGATCGGAAGGCGGTTGATCTGCAGCAGGCACCTTCTTTGCGGGTTGATCTTCGGCAGGCTGACCCCCAGAAGGGAGTTCATCGTCATGGCCGGGTAACGAAAAGGAAGGTGAGGGAGACCGAGCGGGTGATCGGCTCGTAGACCGACTGCGTGGTGGAGGCGCCGATCGGACACGTTTGTGGATGTGCCCGACGGAGTCCGGAGATCCGGAACGACTGCGGCTACGACGGACAGGCGTGGTCGGCGCGCACAGGCGAAGTAAAATCCACCGAACTACGCGAGATAAGGCGTCTGCCACATTCTCGAGATCCTCGTTGGATCGATGGCTGACGCGCCGCAACATAGCGTAGGCGTCCTGGACGTCGATGAATTGGGTGTCTTGGGCACGGATCACTTGTTGCGCGCTTTTGAGACACGATCCTGTAACACAGCGACGGCATGAGCGGCGATCGACAACGGAATAGGCGACACGGAAAGTTTACGTACGGAGATCGGCGTTCTCTCGGAGCGCAACGTCGCGGTCCTGATGAGCTTGATCGACGTCTTTCACGGCAGCGGTGGCTTGGTCTCTCGCGGTATCTCGGGCGGTACGCACCCGATCCAGCTCCTCATTCACCTGGCGGAGGGCAATCTGCAGTCGATCGACGTCGGGCGTGGGTCCGGTGGGAGGCGTCGGGGTTGGAGCGGCCGGAGTGGCCGCGGCTGTTTCGGCTATCCGAAGGGCAGTCTGGACCCGATCGAGGCTACCGCGTGTAAGGTCCAACTCGTGGTTCACCTCGTCCAGCTCGCGCTCTTGCCCAGAAACCTGCGATCGGAGATCCGAAATGTCCGCCGCGGCGAGATCGAGCTGGTGGTCCAGTCGATCACGATCGGCGTTAGCAGTCGCGAGATGCGCCTGAGTGCGTGTCAGTTGGCGATCCAGATCCTGGATCTCGGCGGCTTGCAGGGCTATCTGATCCTGGAGGCCTTGTATCAGCTGCGGACCCTGATCCTGGGCACTCTGCTGAAGGTCGCTGACTTCCGTCTGTAGACGCCGGATCTGCGGTGGCGCTCCAAGTCGTGCAGGTTCGCAGTCAGCTCGCGCACGGTGTCGTCCCGGCGCGCCCGGTCGCGGATCA